CTGCTGCTGCTGCTGCTAGTACTACTGCTACGACGGCGACGACGACCGCAACTTCCCCCGCTGCTACTGCCACTGCTACGAAGACGGCTGATACGACTGCTCGTGTTGGTCTTCTCATCGTGACGATCTTGGTCGCAGTTTTAGTGCCGAGACGATGGCGATGATGATGGTGATCATGAAGATGCTGATATTGGTTGTAGCTCAGTAGCGCGACCGGTGTTCGAAATGTGCGATAGTCCGTGCAGAGGTCATTGCTAGACTCTCTGCCAAAGCTATGCTTGCTATGGTGCCTTGCTGTAGCTGCTGCGGGCCTTATGTTGCCTGATCCTTCTGCTGGCGAGCATCCCGAAACACCTCCGCGGTGAAGGCGCTCACAAGGTTCCAGAACGGCTTGCCTGTATGTATGCGCGTATCGTGTATGCACGCATGTGTGTATGTACTCACGGCAGATATCCACCGTACCGTGTTATGCGACAATATCGTGAAGTACATTGGTTTCTCCGAGTCCCCCACAACCATCCCGAAGTCTCGTCGGCGTGCAGCGTAGTGAGCAAAAACGAAGCCCCAAAACTACAACAAACATCAAACTGCATGAGACTTCTCTCGACAACACGGCATCACCACAGTCGCAAGCTCGACGGCACCAAAAACAGATCCGACTTCCAGCCAAGGCCTTCCCTGGCCTTCAAAGCCTGAAGGCCTACGATTTAGGCGAAAACATAGGCCTTCATATTTAGAAATAGGGTTAAGGAGCCCCCAAAAAGCATTGGTAGCTATCTGAGTCTAGGCCCCTATAATGGTGGGCAGACTACACCCCTAGACTACACCCCAAATCCAGAACCTGCTAAGCAGTCAGGCTAGCGTCTAGCGAGGCTCAGCACTGCGTGAGGCACCATGAAGCAACGAACTGCACAAAGACTACTCAACACCTTCACGGCCATCCGAAACCCTCATAAAAGAATGCGGATGAGGAGAAACATGAGGACGGACAGCAAAGTGAGAATTGAAACCATCACCATCCGATCCCATCATCAGTTCATTACGTATCAGTTGCAGCAATAGCAACATCCTATCGGTTTGATACCCCTCTGGCAGCTAGCCAAGTATGATCAGAAGCCAAAAGGCCCTACTAGCACGAGAAAAACCATCAGATGCTCGCACCTGAAAACACCTTCCACCTGCGCGGCTCAGAGCTATATTAGTCTTAGTGCCAATATACCCCGACTCGGATTCCAGAAGCAGGAGCGAAGAGCAAAGAAAGTTCCAAAGGCGGCTGCAACTGCTTGCCATCCAAGCATATCGCAAATCCGAGACCCTTAGCTCTGAGCAGACCCCGGCCTTGACGCATTGGGCTCAGCAACAAAGACACGGTCACCGATTTTATCTCCTCCTCCTGGGCGTGAGGAAAAGGAGCCGCATGCCTTCTTAATAAGATACCTCGAGAGTGCCTCTCTTCCGCTGTGCGCTGCAATCAACATGGCTTCGGACTCTGCAGGATGCAAATGCTGGAGACCTAAAATATCAGCAGGATCTTTGTTCTAAGGAACCCTTACAAATCCACAGAAATCAGGATAGCGTGAATCCCATGCGCTGTGACATGGTACCTCCTCCTCTGTGACTTCCACCGCGGTGGCTGCGACCTGGCGGCGCTTCGTTAGGCGAGGTATAGGGTGTGCCCCAAAACCCTAAACCCAAAGCCTTTCGCGGATGTTGGGGGAAGCAATGTGACAGATGCTTGAAACCCCAAACCCTCACGAGCGATTTTTGAAACGGTGCGCCTCTAAGCCATCGGCCACAACTGCTCTCCGAGATGCCTTGAGACGGGAGGCACCTGGCTCAGACAGGCTTTAGATACTTACGGCCTGGGGCTCGACCCTAAACCCTAAACCCCTAAGGGTCGCACCTTCCGGGGAGGATTCGGGTTCGAAGGCTGTGGGGCTCTTTGGGTCCAGAAACTTGCGGCTCGAGCTCATGGTTCTCGCGCCCTGCAAAGTCCTGTGCCGTGCGCTGACCGCACTGAATCAGTGAATCTCATTCAATCTCTATTTAAAGCACTAACCATAATGGGGAAGCGATTTTTCCCCAACGTGTTTAGCACTGAATCTGATCGAATCAATAATTAATTAGTATGGTACTGTCACCTTGTCGGCCCCATATAGTCAAAATCGTCACATGGAGAAGAGAAGCTGGTTTCTGCTGGGCTGCAGCGTTTAGTGGTTCTAATGTAGGGGCCTTAATAATTAGAACAGGGTTTGGGGTATACCATACTATAGTTATAATAAGGAACCCCCAAAACCCCATTCTAATTATTAATGCCCCTGCATTGCCGCGGCTGCAGGGCCTTCGGGGCATCTGTCGGTGCTCGAGCCCACTATGCAAGCTTTGCAGGATCCCAAAGGGCAAACTCCATGACATCCGAGGCCCTTCAAGCCATAAGCACTTCATATAGAGGCCTTAATTTAGAATGTGGTTTGGGGGGTATATTATCCTATAGTTATAATAAGGAGCCCCCGAAACCCTGTTCTAATTTTTGAAGGCCCCTATTTTCTTTAAGAAGCCCGAAGACCAGACCCAAAATATCGAGATCAGGGGCCTGCAAAGGTCCGGGAGTGGAGGAGCTCCAGCTTCGACCAGGCCTCACGGAAACATCCAGGAATCCGCTCTCAGGTTAGGTGGAGTTTAGGGCGTAAGAAATAGGCCCCATAGTAGTTCCTTTTTGGGGATTACCTAGTAGGATGCTAAATATAAGCCACAAAAAAGGAACTACCATGGGGCCTATGGGTAGGGTCTATTGGGCCTATACTCAAAGCCTAAACGGGGTCGGGTTGGGGGAAGATCGGAGAGAATGCATGGAGATCGACAAACGACACGAAATCGACGGCTGGCTGGAAGCGGCCAGAACTACAAACCTTCAAGCCCCCCCCCCTTAAGTGGAGATCTGCACTCATGCAGGGGCCTCTAGGTTCAGCCGCTTGTTCTGCGCCTCGGTCGAGCTGGATGCATAGGCAAGCAGGACGATGGCCCCAGCCGAACATTGACCCCGGCAACCATGAAAATTACTAAACTAACTATAGCAACTATAGTAGCTATAATGGGGTTGCTATACTCACTATAGTAACCAGCAATCTTGTGGCCAGGGCACCATCGGTAGCAGCCCGTGCAGGGGCGCTCGCTTCAGGTCCGCACCCAGCAACTCCTCCCAGCTGGGCTCAGGGCTGATGGAGTGGGACATCAGGTTAAGGCGCCCTTGTCTTCTTCACTCACTTCCACGTGCTTTCTGAGACACCGTCACGATGCAGGCATAATCTAGAGTCATAATGTTCTGTGTCGCTACACAGAACTGCAATTGCTGGTGCATGCGCGGCTCAGCAGCCGAACGGTGCCGTTGCCAAGCTCCTCCAGGGGGCTTCCGCTGAGGTCCTTATTTGCGAGTAAACTGGGCAGCAACGGCATTCTTGCGAATCTGGATGGCCCCGCTAAGGACTTATGTCCGAGGTGCCATGAAACTCTGCGATGCCCCCATGATGCCGCCCAAGGAGAAGGCCACGCATGGGAGACCAGGAAAGGCCTCATCCTTCGAAATCTCAGTTTTTTTTCGGCTTCTACAGTCTACAGGATGTTTTGCTGCAAAGGGGCTACAACGTGATGAGACGGGCGATGGACTGAGGATGTGCACGCGTACAAGAAGTGCTACTTGACTGTCACGACGATCATGGTGAGAAGGTTGCACTGCGAGCACTTATTAACATACCACCATTATTGCCACTAACTAGCATGTTCTGAAATTATAGCGGGTAGTAGTATTGCACCTGCCACTTCAATAACCAACGCCGTCGGCAGATTTCTGGCAGCGTTACCAATGCCGCTCCTGCTCGAACTACTCGCACCGCCACGACCACCACCACCACCAACACCACCACCGATACTGCTGCTACTGCTGCTGAGGCAAGCTGCCCGGCTGGTTATGATGGACATTCACGGAATCTGGATTGCGTGGAGCCTCGGGAAGGGTGAGCTTTGGGCTCTGTCAGAAAGCAGCTCCGACCCCGTCCTCTCTGATGGGGACGTTCCTCAACGTGGCTTCCTTAGGCAGGGCGCGGCCCTCCGATGGTCGCTTTCCCTGCTGGTGCATTCAGTTTCGCCTCTTTGCTTTGACACCAATGATGGGCAACACAACTCGAAGGTTCCAGGAAGACGTGCTGCTTTGGTGGTTGCACTTGCACTCATCAGCACAGGCTTACAGCATGTGACGGCTACAAACTGCTTTGATCGCATCCTGTGTCCTCTCACCGAGCATCATCAATATTGCCTGCAGGGATACATATTCTGCTATACCATGTGGCGGAGCACACCACCCAGGTTCTGCCGTGAAGCCCATCGACAATGTACATATGAAAAGCCACAATGACATGAGCAATATACAATCGCCATTCAAGACATCCAATGGAACCAACTTGGCCCATCGCTTCAGGGTTTAGGGAACCCTAAACCCGAAGCCCCTCTTCTCTATGGGGCCCTGGCCAGCATCCGCTGGCCATCTTGGCGTGGCCCACAGATCTGTTTGAGTGGCCCAGCGACGGCAGTCGCGATCTCTTGCC